GAAAGAACGATAAATGACCCACGATGGAAAATTCGGGAAAAAGGAAAATTCGGGAAAAATCATCGGGAAAAATCAACGAATAATCCATGACGAAAAGCTCGAGAAAATTGACGAGTAACAATTCAAATAAAATCCTCAAAACCTCAGGAAAATCTCGAAGAAAAGACCACGAGTGCTTTGTCCAAAAGTTTTGATAAAACATATGAAAAAGTTTGAAAAGAGGGGACCGCAAGCACTCGGGTAGGGCTAGTCTTATATATATATTTGTACTTGAGGGTCGTCGAAGGCTACTCGATCACCCGGATGTATAAAGCCCGTCACTTGACTAGAAAGGTGTCCTACTGAACCTAACTTAGGAGGGTACTCCTTGGCCCAAACAGATAATCAATAGGTGGACAACCAAATTTTTTTAAATGTATTTAAAATTTATATTTTTAGCATGCACATAGGTTTTAAGCATACAAAAATGAGTTGTATCAATTTTATTTGTAGCAAAAAAAATATTTTTTTGTTTGAAAAAGGTGTATCTGTTCTTATCAAATTTGTTTTTATTAGTTTTGAAAAAGTGTAGTTGTCAACGAGTCGATCACACTGTCGAGCGTATGACTACTAACAACCTAAGAAGGTACGAGTCAACACCCGCTAGTCTTATATCGGTGAATGATATTACATCCTATGGTTCAACGGGTCCGTGGGGGTGTCCCGATGTCGTAGGATGAAATATCATTCCGCTCTATCACCGGTGTGCCTTTATCATCACCGCCCTAAGCCCCAAAATAAAACCGACCTACTTGCGACCTTGCTTGATGGTTTCACGTATAGCAAAAGACTGTATGTGGACACTTATGTATCAGATATAAGCATAAAAAACCGAACTAAGAAGCAATGAAAAAAAAAATAAAACAAAAATAAGGTGAGAAAGAGGGGCACTGATCCATCTAAAACACTAAAAAAACGGAGGATGAATCAGTTCTCAAAACTCATGACGAAAAGACTTGAAAAAGGTGGGCCTAAAGTCCTTGAATCATTCCAAAAGGATGTCATTTTCTCGCTTTATTAGAATTGGATCAACCCAAGGAGGGTGTCCTTTCCAAATCCTGTTTCGAACTAGTCAAAACGGGCCCAAACCGACACGACGATTACCCACAAATGATCTCCCCTACATCAGTGTCAATCCTCCAAAAATATCTTCCATAGGCTCAATTTTAACCTCAATTAAATGCTCTCCCAAATATTATTCGGGAATCTTCCAAAATTCATAAATCGAACAAAAGGAAAATGACCTGGGGGAAACCACCACTAGCATTTCCAAACCCATATCAAAATTAAGGTTTCCCAACTCCCAAATTAACCAATAGCCTCATATATCAAATGAACATAGAACCTTCCAATAAAATCAAATAAATGCTCACGGTTAGGGTCAATAGAAGAGAGGAGGCAGACCACCAAGGCTTTTGGTCAAGGCAGCTCAAAGAACAAGAGAGGCTCACGGCCAAGGTAAGAAACAGGGCCAAAAGAGGCTCACGGCTTAGGCAACCAAAGGCACAGAAAGGCTCACGGCTAAGGTAAGAAACAGGGCCAAAAGAGGCTCACGACAAGACAACCCAAATCGATTACACGAGGACCTTTGATATACATAAGAGAGTGCAAAACATAATCATCATTTTGAGATGACTAATTTAGTCCACCAACAATCATCCAAGTAGTTCAAGTCCAATAAGAATGACTAAATCCAATTAAGGGGCCTTCAGTATGTCCACGAGTAGGGATAGGAAGCAGCTCAGGACAACCACCAAGCCTTTCTGTAGGGACACATATAAAGCACAAACATTGACTCTCGGGTAGGAACTAAAGCTAGTAAAACCACACCCAAAATGCCTCTCGGGTAATGGCTACGGCAAGCAAAAATCAAACCCAAACTACCTCTCAGGCAGGGGCAGAACGAGACAAAATCGAGCCCCAACCAGAGTAAAACCGAGCTGCAGCTAAGGCTCAAACCCAGGCCACAATAAAGGCTAGAAAACATCTTCATGCCCTCAAAATATAGGGCTACCACATGTTTCAAACAAGAATAGCTATGGAACTCTTCCAAATCAAAATAAATTTCTTCACAGTACGCGCTTTTAAGACAAAAATGATCATAAAATGCCAAAACCGAGCCCCTAACAGGGGTTAAAGCAAATAAATTCGCACCCTCCCACAGCTCTTGAGCAGGGCAGGAACAAACACCAAAAACAGGCTCTCGGATAGAAGCTAAGGCCAGCAAACCGAGCTCCAAACAAAGCCAAACCGAACCCTTCAAGGCCCATAAGTAAAGTTCGAGCAGTTAGGACAAAGCTTCAACAAAAACCAAAAGCCAAGTCTCAACGAACCCAACCTCCAACCCTTCCAAGGTGAGAACCGAGCTCCAGTAGAGACCAAACCCAAACTTTGAAGGCTAACAAATGAAACCATAATAGCAAATCTACACCCAACCACCTTATAATGAAACCGAGCACCAACAGAGGTCAAAATCGAGCCCCTCAAAATCAGCAGGGAGCCCCTAGGGAGCCCCAAAGCCTGAACGAAAATAAAAAAAGACCAAACTTCAATAAACTTGACTTCTCATACCCTTAAGGTGAATACCAAGCCATTCAATGGTTAAAAGGATACCCACATGAATTTAAAGCATCAAAATACAAGGCCACGATATGTTTCAAGCATGAACAACTATAGAACCCTTCCAAATCAAGGTAAATTTCTTGATAGCATGCGTTTTGAGGAAAAAGAAATTGTGACATGTCAAAGCCAAGCCCTTCTCATGCATGAAAGACCAAATAAATTCTCCAATATCTCATGTTAGGTTAGAATTAATGAGAGGCTTCATGATACATGTCCTAACATGCTTGCAAGAGGAACTAACATTATCTCAAAGCCGCATTTTAATATTTTCAATTTGCCTTGAACAAAAAGAAAAGAGAGGAGCTAATAACATGCTATACTTTCTTCTCCTTAAGCAAGTAATCAAATCTGACTCCTAGAACATGCTCACATTTCTATTTTTCACATGTTGAAGGGACAAATATTTCAAAATATAGGTGCAACACTAGGCTAGCATGCTGTACTATTCAACAGAACCATCCTCAATGGCTCGGCAAAGAGAAAACCGAAAAAAGAGGCAAGGCACGGGGGATGAAGGTACCTCCTTGAAGCAGAAAAAAAGCAACACAAAAACTTTAAAGGCACTCCCCAACTTCAACTCTTCCTCCAACAGTAAGAGGAAGCCAACCCGAGCACATAAAGCTAAGAAGTGAGAAAAGAAAATGACAGAGTTTTCCATCCCTCAGAGATTTTCGGCCATTTAAAACGCACCAAACGAAAGTCTTACATAGACCAGAAAAAAGAGAAGGAATGATTAAGAGATCGCATATGGCTCGAGAGATCGAGAGAAGCAGAGGATTAGATCCTCACAGAGGATACGATTGCGGCAGAGAAGATCGAACTCAGAACGCAGAAGATAGGATACGAGGGATGGGCGTTTGCGAGACTTGTCTCGCGTGCGAGAGGCGAACGCGGGAACGAATCCCTCCAACGACACGAAGGAGCGGGCTAAGCAATCGAACGAGCCAATCTAGGGCTGAGT